TATACCATTATTATAATGTTAGAAGAGGAATTCTCAATTGGTTCATTTTGCCCCAGATCCACATACATGATACATTCTAATACTGTGTTGGGGTGTCCCACATCATATGATTTACAAACATAGTCGATCGATCACATATATAAATTTTCATTTTTTAGAGGTTTTGCGGATTTATTATTTTTTTTTTTGGTACCACAAAAAAATTATTTTACTAGCAGTTCAAGATATAATAACCAAACACAACTTTGGCTAGTACTATATAGAGATTATAAAATTTAGATGTAACACTAAAATTTAGTCAAAATATATATCAAAAATCGAAATAACTCTTAAACTATACGACGTATCTAAATAAAATGACATGGTTTGGATTCGCATTTTGATGCTATTTATGCATATAGAGAGCTTTTTACAGTTTTATTTGCATAAAATTTTGTATCATATATACATAACTTTCCTTTTTTCTTTTAGCTTAAAATAAGTAATATGATTTATATTAAAATTAAAAAAAACTCTCTATAGGGACATTGCCCTATCCTTCTAATATATTTTAAACTTTAATTTGGAATCTGTACCTCTATTCTTTAAAGAGTTATTTTCGTTCAAAGTTTACTATTAAAAAAAAGATTGATGAAAAATCATCCTTAATAAAAATTTATATATATGTGATCGACTATGTTTGTAAATCATAATATGTGGGACACCCCAATATTGTATGTAGATCTAGACAATGTATAACAATAAACTTCAAACCTCCAAAGCTTTTTTTTTTATTAAGACACTGTTACTTAGAGATTTTTGTTCCTGCTTTTTATATTTAATAAATCGATAATTATTGGTGTTTTTGGATAGTCGATCTCTCAAGGAAGCATATCAGGAAAATGACAAAAAAAAAATTGAAATTTGTCCCCATATCCTTATCTTTTATTGTATATTCTACGCAAATCCCATTTTTGTCGATAATCCCAATCCACGCAGGTTATATAAAATATTTATATTGTGGCTTAGTATTAGTTTTTACTGTTTCGAGATACAAACATTGAAACAATGGTAATAATGGTAAATAAACTCTTTGAGATTCTTTGATTGTTTTCTTTTTTCTGAAACATTAATCCTTTTTTCAGAAAAAATCACGTTCTTAAGTACGG